TCCTGCTCACAAGAAGTAAAGGATAGTCACTAGCTAATGACAGAGCGACAGCCACAACTCAAGAAGCCAAAAACCTGGGGTCAACCTCAATCACGACTCCTCAAGCATTATCACAAGAGAGAAGCATCTTCGGGGGCCCTGGGAGGGAGCCCCTGCTTCCTGGGGCGATCATTACCTGAATCCACAATGGGCTTTGCCGTGGAGGAGAGAGAGATGGGAGCGCTTGTTGGGACGGACAGCATCTTGCGGGTCTGGGAGACCAGCAGGGGGGTTGGGGTGGGAGTGGTGCTGCAGGAGAGAAGCCCAAGGCAGGGGGTGATGAGATGGAACAAAGGCAGTGTGTACTGAGGAATCATCCTGCTCCTCTAGAGATGGTGCAGATGAGGCCGGGGTCCCCAGATCCTCTGCCCAAAGTCTCTGCCAGGCATTTGAGGGCAAGGAGGGTGTTTCTAGGCTTTCTGGTGCCAACCCAGAGCGGGACATACACCTCTGAAATGACTCGTGGGCTTGGTGCAGAGGCTCCCACTGAGTCCCTCACCCCAACCCCAGCCCAGCTGCTCCACCCCCACTTTCACCCCAGGCATCCCCTGGGCATGACAGGGACAGACCTCCTATAGCAGCCAAATGGAGAAGGGGCTGGGAGTCACCTGGCGGGCTTCTCACTGCTCCCTTGGGGGATGCTGCAGTCAGGGTGGCTCCCTGGGGGAGGCGACTTATAGGTGGTATCCCTCGTGGCCATTTCTGCAGGGAGTGGCAAGATCTTAGAGTCAGTACTGAGGAGCATGATGTGTCCAGGAAAGACTTAGCCAGCAGGGGGCTGTTTGCTCTAGTTGACCAAGATGATCAGATCTGAGTTTCAAAGATTCAAAGTGAGAAGCTGCTCCGCACCTAAGCCAACTGTGATTACCCAGGACAGTGGCCCAGTGACCTCTAGACCTTCTAGTTTTATTGCAGAAATGCCTGAAATCTCCTGATGTTGAAGTGGGGCCCCAATTCTTAGTGTTTTTCCTCTTTAAATGAACTTAATTGAGGCATAATTTATATACAAGAAAGTGTCCCCTAACTGTCCAGTGTCATCACACTGAGCTCTGACAAATGTGTATTTCCTCACAACCAAAACTCCATTCACACTGTAGAACATCCTATCACCCCAGAAAGTTCCCTAGTGCCCCTGTTCACTCCGCCTCCCCTCCCCCGCCCCCCGCACCCAGTCCTAGGCAACCTCTCACAAGCTGATGCCAAGGGGTGGGTTTGCCTAGCCTAGAATTCCAGGTAGCTGGCATCAGTCAGTACGTGCTCTTGGCGTCTGGCGTCTGGCTTCTTTCACTCGGCATGAGGTCTCTGAGATGCATTCATGCCACACGGTATCAGTCGCTCATTCCTTTATACGGTGGGACGATGTCCTGTTGTCTAGCTGCCCCGCCATCTATGCAGATATTCACCAGCCAATGGACATTTGGGTTGCTTCTAACGTGTGGCTATTTGCCTCAAGGCAGCTCTAAGTCTTCTTGAACGTGTGTTTATGTGGGCATAGAACCTCACTTCTCCCGAGGGCATAGGAAGGGTGGTTGGATTGCCAGGCTGGCCAGATAGTCAGGATGTCTTTGAGGGCCACTTCAAAGTGGTCACCTCTGAGCTAACACAACCACTTTGTTTTACAGATGCAGAGAACCAGAGAGCCAGCCCTGGAGCCAGAACGCAGGGACTGTGGGTTACAGCCCAGAGCACTCTCCGTCGGACCACACCACCTCCTGCCTGGGGACTGGACACAGGCTTACAAACTTGATGGGCTGGTTTTCTGGAGCAACTGGCCCTCATTCGAAGCAGGTCATGCCCAGCCAATATACCTCCCCACCTCCTCGGCCCTGGTGGCAGCATCCCTTCTTTAATGTGGTACAAAGCACCCCCCACACACACCTCCTCCCTTCTAAAATGCTCTCACAATGCTTCTCAGACCTTTCCTGGAAAACTTAAAAGAGGGACCAGCAGGTAGTGTAATGGCTATGTCGCGGGACTCCCATGTAGTCGACCATGGTTCAAGTCCTGGACCCAGTGGCTTAAACTCATGCCAGGCGTGTGTGTGTGCCCAAGATCCCGAGAGGAGAATGGAGGAGAAGGGATTGTGGTATGGCCATCCCCCCTGGGGGGTGATTTCTTGCTTTCTGTCTCTCTGTCTCTCTCTGCCTTTCTGGCGAGCTTACATGCCCTATAGCAAAAACCTCTTTAAAAAAAAAAAACTTAAAAGAGAAAATAAGGCTGGGATGGGTTTCCTTTTTGGATTGGTAGAGCCTTTAGGAACCTACGCTTTTGGGGGTCTCCAGAAAGATACAACATCTTTCCATGTGGTCACGAGACTATTTTCTGAGTTAGTTGAAGCCTGGAGAAGGTGATGAAATACATTACAAGAGTTTCTATATATTTATAAACTACTATTTGAAATTCACTGGTTTTAAGCAAAAAGCTACTTTGAAAGGAGTGGAGGAGCACTTGTGCTCAGATGCACTAACGTGGCTGTACCCAGTCAGCACCGGCACAGAGCCCCACCCTGCCAGGGCAGCCGACGTAGCCGGACAGGAACCCAGCCACAGATCTGCTGTCCCTCCTCTAAGCACAGAGGTGCAGCCAGCACTCCTTGGGTGCTTCTCATCCCCTGGCTGTGTGCCGCACCTCGCCTATAACCTTCCTCCCTGCTCCCTGGAAGTCTCCTTTGGGCCTGGAGGTGAGCAGAAGGCGTTGTCTAGTCTAGTTACTCATAGTGTTCTCTGGTAAGGCCCCAATGGAAGAGAAAAAAGGAAACTGCCTACCTGTAATCTCAATTTAGAACCAAAAAGACATATTATTTACCAGATTAAAATATTTCTTAAGGGGACAGCAGGTGGAGTAATGCTTAAGGCACTGGACTCCCATGTGGCGGACTGCGGTTCAAGTCCCAAACCCAGCAGCTTGAAACTCATGCCGGGTGCATGTATGTGTGTGCCCCAAAACCCGAGAGGAGAATGGAGAAGGGATTGCAGCATGGCCATCCCCTCTGGGATGGGGGGTAGATTGCTCACTTTCTGTGTCTCTCTGTCTCTCTGGCAAGCACACACTCCCTATAGCAAAAATCTCTTAATTTTTTTTTTCTTAAATCCAAATATCTAATCCTTGAGCCATTTAAAGAATGATCTTAGGGCCAGCCCTGTAGCCTAGTAGTCAAGGGAACTGGATCCTGCATGGCTGACCACAATTCAAATCATTACTCTAGCAACTTGGAAAACATGCTGGGCTTTGTGTGTGTGTGTGTGTGTGTGTGTGCGCGCCCAACATTCTGACAGGATGGACAAGAGGGCTGAAGGGTTTGTGGCATGTGGCATGACCACACTGCATTGAGACATACTTTTCCCCTCTTCCTCCCTGTCTCTCGGTCTCTCCCTGGCAATTACACAGGCCCTATGGTAATTTTATTTTTTAATGAATGTTCTTAGCATCAAGGTCAAACAGATCATCTTCTTGTACATTCAGCAATTGTTTTCATTAAAAAAAATTTGGGGGGAGAGGTTTTTGGTATAGGACGCGTGCACTCACTGGAAAGATAGACAGAGAGACAGAAAGTGAAAAATCACCCCCCGGAAAGGGTGGCCACACCGCAATCCCTTCTCCTCCATTCTCCTCTTGGGATCTTGGGCACGCACACACACATGATTGGCATGAGTTTCAAGCCACCGGGTCCAGGACTCAAACCATGCTTGACCACATGGGAGTACAGCAACATAACCATTATGCCATCTGCTGGTCCCTCAAATAACTTTCTAAGAGAGATACATGAGGAAAAGCTTTTTCAGACCTTTTGTCTTGAAAACTTGATTATAATTTAGCTGAGTAAACTTGAGGTTCAGAACTAAGAAGGTGGGGGAGTCCAGTGGGGGTGGTCTGGGCAGATCCACAGGATCCCTGTGTTCTGGCTGTAGCTTAGCCCTGTGGTCCCCTCTATCTGTAAAAAGGGGTGGCTGGATCCGATCAGAGGTGACCAGCTTTGAACTGGTCCTCAAAGACATTCCGAGGGGCCAGCAGATGACATGGTGGTTAAGGCACTGTACTCCCCCTTGGCCAACTGCAGTTTGAGCCCTGGACCTGGCAGCTTGCTTTCTTGCAATCTCTCTCTGTCTCCCTCTGTGAATGCATGTGCCCTATAGTTCATTTTAAAGTAATAATAAAAAGAAATTAAAAAGACATTCTGACTATGCAGCTAGCAAGGTGACCTAGCCATCCTCCTGGTTGTGAGAAATAAAAACATATACTCGGGGACCAGCAGTTAGTGTAAGGGCTATGTCACTGGACTCCCATGTAGTCAACTGCGATTCAAGTCCCAGGCCCGGTGTCTTAAACTCACGCCTGGCACGTGTGTGTGCATGCCCAAGATCCCCAGAGGAGAATGGGGAAGGAAGGATTGCAGCGTGGCCATCGCCCCTGAGGGGTGATTTCTCGCCTTCTGCCTCTGTCTCTGTCTTTCTGGAGAGTTCATGTGCCCTATCGCAAAAGCCTCTCCAATACATACATACATACATACATACATACATAAATTTGTCTGTGAAACACTTCCTGAGCCTGCTTGTGCGGGAACTCTGGGCCTATGGAGAAAATAACTCTCTGAGAAAGAGTTTTACTATAGGGTGCGTGCACTCCCTGGAGGGACAGAGAGAGACAGAGAGACAGAAAGCAAGGATCACCCCCCACCCCAGGGGTGAAGGGGGGTGGCAACATCTTTTGATCTACTGTTTTCCTACTTTTCAGGTCAGATGTGCAAAGAAAGTTTGGGTGTCAGTGTGTGTAAAATCTGGGGCACCCATGACCGTGGCAGGAGGGCCTCGAGAAATGAGGTGCAGAAGACCCACAGCTGCTGGAGGTGCACGACAGGATGCTTCTGTCAACAAGGGGCCAGCGTCTGCATTGGAAGGGCTGCATCAAGGCGGTCAGCAGGCCTAGAGGCAGCTGTGAGGTTGAGGGACTTCCTGCTCTGGGAGCGTCACATATGTCCCCACCAGCATTGCCCTGCTGACAGAGTGCAGTGGGGAAAAGGAGCCACCTTTGGGCCATCAGGGGTGTGGTGGCTAAGGGGCTGGATCCCACATGGTTAGCTGAGCAGTTCGAGTCCTAGATCAGGCGGCTTGAAAAACCACACTAGGCATGCGTGTATGTGTGCCCCAAATCCTGAGGGAGAGTGGAGGAGAAGGGATTGTGGTGTGGCCATCTCCCTTGGGGGATCATTTCTCACTTACCCCTGCCACCCACCCCATGTCTCTCTGGTGAGTGAACATGCCCCGCAGCAAAAACGGAAAGAACACAGAAAGGGGGAAAAAAAAAAGCAGCAGCCACCTTCCTCCTGCAGTGGCCCCAGCACCTTCTGCTGGCGAAGCAGAAATCACGCTCCTGGTCCTTTTTCAAAGAGCAGGTAGAAAAGAGTGAGTTGGGAGCCGAGCGGGAATAGACGGGCAACTAGCACGTTTTCTGGACACATTTTCCTTCCTCTGACCTCTCACTGTGCCTTTTCAATAGCGTTCTGTGCTCACTCTACGGAAGTAAAGTCTTGAATTTCTCTGTGGACGCTCATTTGGTGAGTGTTCTGCTATTCTGGATTTATCACTCCATCACAGGTATTATGTTTTTCTGTCTGTGTATGTTCTTATTCTCCTTCATAGTGCTGGCCTCCCTAATTAGTCAGAATATCTCTGCTGCTCATTCATACGCTTTAAAAGGGACTATGCAGGGCCGGCAGGTGGCGTGGTGGTGAGGGCAGCTGGACTTCCACATGGCTGACCACGGTTTGAGTCCCGGGCCTGACAGCTTGCTTTCTCACTTTCCTTCTCTCTCTCTGTCTCTTTCTGGTCAACTTCAGTAAAATAAAATATAATAATAACAATGAATAAAATTAGATTAAATAATTCTTTAAAAAAAAAAGCCAGGGGGTTACGATACTACAGAGCCAGCCTCTGACATGGTGGTTAAGGTGGCTGAATCCCACATGGCTGACTGTGCGATTTGAGTACCACACTTGGATGCTTGAAAACACATTGGGCATATGTACATATGCCCCAAATCCCAAATGTGGAGAGAAATGGAGAATAGAGGACAAGGGATTCCAGCGTGACCATGCCCCATGGGGGTAGGGAGGTGCTTTCTCTCTCTCCTCCCTCTCTCTCTCTCCCTCCTTCCCTCATTCTTTCTGGTGAGCATACATGTCCTGTGAACAAGTTTCAAATTTTTGTTAAGTAAAAATTTTAAAAAGGGACTATGTTGAATATTCCAGTGGCTTGCATGGGGGTGGGGTTCTTGGCTGTGGTGTTAGTACATCTTTGTCACAGTGTGACCTTCCTGAGCAGGAAGTCTGGCTGGAACCATGGCCCGTGGGTGAGCAGTGTGAGCAGGCAGGCTTCAATTTTCAGTGACTGGGCAGGGCCAGCCTATTGACAGGAGGCACTGCCAAATACACAGATAAAGAGGGCTTTTAGGGGGCTAGTGGATGGCATAATGGTTACATCGTTGGACACATAGTCAACCATGGTTCAAGTCCTGGACCTGGTAGCTTAAAACCCATGCCAGGTGTTGGGTTTCACGTGCCCAAAATCCTGAGAGGAGAATGGAAATGAAATTGCAGCACAGCCATTCTCTCTGGGGGGTGATGTCTTACTTTCTGTCTCTCTGCCTCTCTCTGGTGAGAGTACACACACCCTCTGGCAAAAATCTCTTTAAAAACAAAAAAAAAGAAAAAAATAGGGACCAGCAGTTAGCGTAATGGCTATGTCGCTGGACTTCCATGTAG